GTCACTATTGATGGGAGGTTTTTCGTGTTTTCTCGCGTTTATTTATATCTTGGGAAAGGCGAACGTAATATTCAGCAAGGCGGTAAGTTGGGCTAGTTGGTTTAACATCGTCAAACGTGAAAACAGCGCAAAAAATTGAACAAAGGACAAGTGAAAGGAGTGCACGGACAAAGCGCTGATGCGAATGAGAAAAGCGCTGTTTTCACGTTTGACGATGTAATATTCAGATTCAATGGATAACAATACGCTAAATCACCCCTCGCTCGTTTTTTTTTTTAGTAAGTGTTTAGCTTGTTTCTTTAATACCAGACTAACGGTCAAGCTCTAAACGACTTCAGTTTAAATAACCTTTTAATTCAGCTTTTATTCTAGAGGTCGTCTTAGACGCCGTTGTTGACGTCGTCCTCCAAGATGTCATCCTCGGCGCCTTCCTGGATGCTGTCCTTCAGGACGTCCTAAGAGGCGTCCTCGAGGCAACCCTCGACGTCGTGCTAGACACCGTCGTCAGCGTCGTCTAATACGTCATCTTCCAGGCCACCCTAACGTCGTTTTGGAGGTCGTCCTCGACGTCGTCCTCGACGCTGTTATTGACGTCGTGGCTGACGTGGTCCTAGAGGTCGTCGTCGAGGTTGTCCTGGAGGTCGCGCTAGACGTCGTACTTGACGCCGTCCTTGAGACCTTGCTAGTGGTCGGTTAAGACAGATTTTGATGTCATCTTGGACGTGGTCCTCGACGACGTTCTATACGTCGTCCTAGAGGTCGTCGAATACCTCATTCATGACGTCGTCCTCTAGGACGTCGTCATCGACGTTGTCCTAGAAGATAACGTTGATGACGACGCCGGCCGTGATGTGTTCCACGATGTGTGTATGGGATGATGCAAATATTTCATTACCGTACCATTTCCTTTCCTAATTGTTTTCACCCACGATGTTTCTATAAAGCTACTGCATTTCATCGCCTTCGGCAGAGGGGACAAACTTCAAGCCAACCTTTTACCCTAAATTTCACACTTTCTATTTATATGGACACATCCATGATATTATTTGTTTAACATGCGATGTTCTTTAAAGTTTTGTATTCGGTCTTCTACGTTGTCTTATATTTATCCATGGCTTCTCATCCTAAGGTAATGTAGTTACCAATGACTGTGCAACATATTGTGAAATCAATAATCACTTTAAAGAATTAATCTGACGAGATTTATCTAAGTGTGGGTAAACGGCGGGAGGTGACTATGACACTAGTTAGAGAGTCATAGTCACTCAAACAATAATGCCAGCAGAGACGACGACAGCAATACTTCGAGCACCAGCTCCTTCACAAAGTGGGTCCAAAGGTCTCGGCTGATGAAATGCGGATGGGGGGAAAGCACCAAGTGTCACACTTCAGAAACTCCATAGGGTGTACAGCACCCAGATTTCCAGCCCTTCGCGGCCACAGGACAGCGCCATTACAACCTATCCCGCTCTGAGCGAGATTCAAGTGCTGTCCTTCCCATCCTTCGCATCATTTGCGAAGGGCGCTTAAATGCATAGACACCAGCACGGCCCCCAGTGGCGTATAGCTTCTTCCTCGCTGAGTGAAACCATGATGCGAACCTCGAGCCCCTGATTGGCCTTCCTGGAGGCACGTCACAAGTGTGCTCGCCGCCGGCTGGTTAAAACGCGCGCCAGTGTTTTGTGCTAACAGATGCCGTTTAGATATAAAAATGCCGCCTCGACATATTTGGCACTCTACCGCGCAGTGTTTGGGGGTTTGTAACCACTGCCAAAACTAGCGTCAACTTTGTTTACAGCCAAATATTTATCGCCTGCTGCGCCCCATCGTTTCGCATTGTAATATGCCGTCGGACACTGGCGCCGCGAAGCGGCGTGTACAAGGGTGGTCGGGTAGGTCAACATGCGCCCCAGTGATGCCACATTCAACCGCCCACCAGGCGCCTCAAAAAAGGGCGACACCGCCGCCGTCCACGGTGAGAGCGGCTTTCTGACCTCACACAATAAACATCAACCACGAAAGTGACATTGTCGTCTCCTGCGAAAGATTCGGACGTTCAAAAAGGCCAATCAGGGCTCTGGAATTGCTCAAAGGTTTTACTTCGTTTTACTTCGTTTTACCCCCCCCCCCCCCCCCCCCCCCCTACCCCGGGTCTGGATGGCCTGACGCTACGAGAAATACGGAAGGTCTCCCAGCGGTGTCAGCAATCCTTTCCACAAACTGGCTGGTGTCTGCTTCAATAACAGAAGAGCATAAAACAACTAGGACTATGTTCCTGCCGAAGTCCCGCACTTCCACAGCGGTGGAAGAATTCCGACCAATCACGATTTCTTCACTCCTCCTTTGATGGTACATTCGGGCACTGCTACAACAATTCACTCGGGATCATCAATTTCACGGCTTTCATGGGGCGCATCCTCAACCATCATTATTCTCAAAGCACTCATGAAGGAGGAAAAATTGTGAGACGATCACACGACGTGGGCGTGTGATCGTCTCTTAGGCGCCCCTTTCTCAGCCCAGCTCTTAGGCGCCCCTTTCAAGCTTGAGCAGCGTCGCCGTCGCCGTCGGCGGGACCGCGCGCTGCATTATGGGACGTTCCCCATATTACGTCAAGCGTGACGTCACGTGTGACGTCACGAGGGCCACGAGTGATATCACTCGTAACCGCGCGTTGCCTTATGTTACGTTTCCCATAAGGACGTCACTCGTGACGACACGTGTGACGTCACGAGTGACATCACGAGGGTAACTTGGCTCGCAAGCGCCGTTACGGTGACTCATGAAAGGCACGACGAAGGTCACGACCATCAGAGTGAAGATCACGTGGAGGTCACGACCTTCACGAGGCCTTCACAATTGACGTCACAAGGATCACTAGGGTCACGAGTGACGTCACGAGGGGGAAGGAGGGGTAGGAGGCGGAAGGGAGGACAAGAATGAGAGGAGGAGAGAGGAGGAGGATGGAAAAGGGGGAAAAGGAGGAGAGGGAGGGGAGGACGGAGCAGCAGGATGGGAAGGGGAAGAGGAGTAGAGGAGAAGGACGGGGTACGGATGAAGAGATGTGGCATACTCTCCTCTCCATACCATCCCCTCCTCCTCCTTAAGATCTGCGCTCTAATTCGGCATCACAGGGATTTGTAGACGTCTTTCATTGTTTTTTTGCGTACCATATTACAGTGGAATTCGTTACCAGCAAAACTAGTGTGCCGCGAGAGCGTCGATTTATTTTATAATGCATTGTGCTCCCTGCAAAAACGCGTAAGAGGCACTGCGGGTTTCTCCTGAATAAAGAACAAAGAATGTCTCTCGTCTTTTATGCGATCTATACATGCCCGGAACCCATCTCTAACTAGTGTGTTTAACGAGTAAAATAAAGCTGTGCCTCGATTTCTGTCTTTTGACGTCATAGAAGTGTCATGCTGTGGCCGCCGCGATCCTGGCGGCGTCACAGCAGCTATGGGGGTTGAGGCAGACACCTGTTCTGCTGCAGGTCGTTCTCCAGAAGATGGAATGCAGTGATGAGAGCGACACTCGCGTTTGCACGTGACTTTTGGCCGAAGTTCTACGACCAACCAGTAGGGCAGAGCTATCTTACAGCATGGCACTCCAGATTTTGTGACGTGATTTTCTGCCACTTAGGAATCACTTTCAATGCATGGATGGATGGGACGCAAAACACACCAGTCAGAGACGGGGTCCATGATCCGTACTAACACTCACAAATATAAGAGTGTAAGCCTATATTTTAATGAAATCCTGAAAAAGCCATTGTAATTTTAAAACCCTGCAATATTTCTTAATGGAATCCCTTAATTCGAGCAGTTTTTCGCCCATCTCTCCGTACAATATCCCGCTAAATTTAGATGAAAAAATGGGTGTGCCGTGACGTCTGGGTATCGCGTGGCAGCTCGAATTTACACCGTGATCTTGCGTCACGTGGCGACTTCAGTCCACGTGACCACACCGGGGGGGTCAGGTCACGTGACGTGACGTCATGGTGTCAAGTGGCGTCGTCACGTGATACTCTGACATCACTATGACATCAGTTTACTTGACGTAAATTTTCCTGCCAACTTTAGCGGCTAAATTGACAAACAATATGAGCTTCACTCCCAAAAACCAATGTTTAACGTCTTTTGAAAACATTTATACCATCACTCCTTAAACATTGAATTCCACGCATTGCAGGGCTTTGAGAATACAGATTTTTGGTAATGTGTGCTTTAATTTCCTCTCGATTTTTCTAATTATCTCAACCAAATATATTTTGGGTGAATTAATCTGAAGAGAGATGCTATTAGGGTAGATGAATTTATTTAAATATTTTATGCCTATTCTTAACGAATTCATTTGTATTGTCAAAATCTCACCTGCCTTCTCTTAAAACGGCTCTCTCACTAAACTCGCGAACTGTAGTTTTCTTTTTAAGACGTATGACGTAAAACGTCCAATAAAATCTGAATTCCTTAAACAAGCGAGTAAAGTTTGGAAAACAAGGACTGTCAGCTAAAAGAAAACTATTGCAAACACGCCTATTCTTTTCTCAAAATGAAACTCCAAGAAGGCAGAACCCCGGCAATGCGATAAACGGACAGACTCCTCAAATTATCACTCTCAGACTTGCAGCAGGTTCAGGGAAATTAAATTCAACATTGCTTCTTGACTGGCAGAAAATTCGCATTTTAAACCTACCTTTGTGATCTGGCTTATATTAGAAAGGTCAAAATACAACACGAATTAAGATATAAAGACTCTTGAAACAAAAGTTCTTCGAGTGACATGTTACATATAGGCCAACAAAGCTTAGGTAGGTTGGTGACAACTTTTGTTCGCAACATACATACCTTTCACACAAACAATGGGATGTGCTTACACTGTGTCAACGTCGCGCATAACATGCGTTTCGCCGAAATACAGCACTTCTAGCCTCCCTATATATAGCACCAGAATGTTTCTAAAGCAACCAAGTGGTTAACAGCTCACTGCAAGAACACGATATGAATTTCTTCAGTCTGAAATCATTCCTCACCCTGTGTTTCGTATTGAACGCTGTCGTCGGCAAGTATTATTATCTGGGTTATGCGGCAGTCTCATGAAAGCATCTGTTGACATATCAATTTACAGAATAGTTGTTCATTTGATCATACGACTTTATTGATCATAGTTACGTACTCGAGGGAGGTGTCTATGTTAAATGCATTAAGTTCCGATTGCAGATTTAGAGACATCTGCACACGCACACTCGTGTAGAAGCATCAGAACCACCATTTTTAATAATTCCACTTCGCTGTAGTTAGCACTTGTATATTTATATATTCTAAAATAACAGCACTATTATTCATAGGCGTAATTTTATAAAAGACACCTCTAGTTCAATTAGCAGCCACATGTGACCGATCCATTGTGTCGACACTTGAAGCAACCGCCAAGGTTCAAAAAGTTCGGTCAGTGCAACTCTATCTTCTTCAGAATAATAAACCGATACAGGTGAAGACAACCTGTAGTTCCGACCTACAATGCTATTACAGGCCTTTTCGGAAAAGTAGGGTCTCCCTTAATATAAAAGAGCCATTCGTCTAGGCAGCTGATGCGTCCGTGCTAAGCACACTATGGCCAAAGATGCGTTTTTCTTAGAGAAAGGAAGAGAGAGAGCGAGTCTAGTATAAAGGTTGATTTATTTCAACACTTCAATGTACTAAAGCCTGGCCATAGTTAATTCAGCAAAGCCGGCTCAAGCTGCCTCGTTCAATGGGTCACTCATATGGTTGAAGGCTGTACTTGCCACCTACCCCTCATCACATTTCGGTGAGTTGGCTAGAAAATAGTGGCATGGCCAAAAAACACGCATTCTAACTGTTATCGTATGCATAATCTATAGTGTGGATAGGATAACTTTAAAATTTCCGTTTGTCTATGAGTTATTGTAAGTGGCGCTTCAAGAACGGCTTCTGGTATTAATTAGGCTCAGTGACAAATACAGTTGAAATGAGCCTGACATTCGTAAAAGCTTATATATTAGCTTAAAAATATGTTCGTATTTCTCTTATAAATACCGAATTTTATTCAATGCTACATTGATAATATTAACTATACTTATTTTGTATAAACTTATCCAGGTCAATATTCTAACACTCAGGAAGAACAGGTACGTGCGCAGGTCGAAAACCTACACACACAGAAATTTCCCCGATTACGTCTTAAGTGCAAATAATTTGTAGTTCACATTATGTTAATATAATCCAAAATTTTACGCTAGTTCTGGAGCTAAAATATACGAATAATTTCCATAGAATAGTTTTATTTTGATAAGGGAAAATATACCTTATCCCACATCGGAGAAAATGGTTTTCATTGGCTTGAATTCTATGCACAGTATTCTATAAAATATTAACAACTACTAAGATATTATTATATGCTCCTTTTGTGTAGAGCTCCGGAGTTTAATTTGTTACACTGATAAGTACCGGTCAAGACCAAAACTAATTGTCATAGAAATTCCCAAATTTCCAATGTTCCAAAACAAATTTACCAAACCGTCAATTTGTGTGTGTGTGTTTTTTTTTTTTTATTTCCTGACTTGAGAAGGACAAAACAAAGTTTAGAGAGGAATGTCTGAAAATCCACAACGACTACCGGAATCGTCACCAAAGTCCACCAATGGTTCTAGATGAAAAGGTATGTTGCCCTGTCAAATTTTCTCTTTCTTAAAGACCTTTACAAGGTAATCTGAAATTAAGAGCTCCGATTGCTTCTCGATATTTCCTCAGACATAATAATGGAAGACATGAAATGCATAGCCCTCGTGTAAATTCACCATAAGCTGGTCAGCTCACAGCGCTTATTTTATAAAGCTTGCAACCACGGAAGAGGCGGCACGGAAACGTCGATGGCGTCACTATTCTACCGGTTCACGCAAGCATCGAGCTGCTGTCGCTGTGACGCACGTTACGCGAGAGCTTTAATGCACTCGATTTTTGTATTCTAATTTCAAAGTTAGATATCAATTCCTTAATGTTGCAGATCGCACATGCATAAAGTTTTGACATATAGTTCTCGGAGAATATGACCAAGCTAAAACTGCGGATTGCCTCGTGTTCTTTGCAGCCGTGGGACTCTGAAATAATTTTGACAAATAGCTAGGATATTGTGTTGGTACGTGAAGCGTTCTTGCATTAAACACGTTTAGCGATTCTTCGAGTTTTCAGACGCCAGACGCCTACGTTCTCGGCGCTCTTCATCATAAAGTTTAACGCGTACCATGTGTACACTTCATAGTGGTTCCTAGAATGAAGCCATACACCATAATCGGGCTGATAAACGTGGCGATCTTCCAGAGCCTCTTATATTCGCAATCTCCTCTCCTTCAGTGCTCACGGGTTGTCAAGCTCCTCCTAGTCTACCTCACTCCTTCTCGCCTATCCCTCTGGCCATATGACCGCCCCGTGAACCAATCAATGTCGAAGACTCAACCAATCATTGTAAAACCTCGCGTTTTCGCTTTTATCCAGCCTTCATAAAATGCAGAACACCTAGCCAAAGAGCGTTTCACGTTAATATTTACAAGACTATGAGGTCATTGAAACAGCCGTTTAGGTGTTCGGGCGAAAAAATCAGAGAGCATTTACGCTACCCGTTGAGTGTTTCATAGCGACAGCAGCTCGGTACTCACGCAATTCTCTGTCATCGTAACGTCCCTTCCGTTTCTTTACCACCTCCTGAGAACGATTTTGAGTGCTTTCACGCCATTTGGGCTTCCTCACTCGATTCCGCTCCCGTAACTCATCCTCACTGTATCTGAGATGATCCACGTCAGCGCTTACAGAATACAGCGGATTGCGCAAGCTCACGAAGGGCAGGGTAACCAAACTCTTTGAACACATCAACGAGGTTTGGCGAAAGGAAACCATCTCACCTAAATGGAGGGAAGCCATCATCATCGCCATTGCTAAATCCGGCAAGCCGCCCACGGCAGTCACTAATCTCCGTCCTAACTCCATACCGTCCTGCCTAGAAAATGTTATAAAAAATGGTCCTACATTGCCTCGTTTGGCACCCCCGAAATCACGTCCTACTTTCCCCCACGATCGACATTAAAAAGGCTTTCGACAACGTGGATCAGGCTGCAATACTATGTCAACGAGGCTGAAACCCGACAGGGAATGGGTCTATTTGGATCCATCAAAAATGAAAGGCGTTTACAACTCCTTGATAACGCCGAATTGGAGCGCAGATCCTGAGGAGGAGGGGGGAACGGTACTGAGGGTCCCGTGTTCTCGGGGGGGGGGGGGGGGGGGGGGTCACGTGACCTGGGGAAGGGGTCGCGTGACCTCGGGGGGGTCCAATGACTCCCAGAGAAATTTTTCTGCTAGATTTAGCGGGGTCAATTTTCCGCTAGATTTAGCGGGGAAATTTTTCCGTTAGATTTAGCGGGCAACTTTTTCCGCTACATTTAGCGGGGAAGTTTTTTCGCTACATTTAGCGGGGGAATTTACCCATAATGCACCGCGTGGTTACGCCGACGACGACGCCGACGGCGACGACCTCGACGCTCAAGCCGGAAACAGGCGCCTAAGAGCTGCGCTCTAAAACTTTCTCGCAAACCGCACCCTGCGCATTCAGTGTCCAAATGAAAATCCGTCCGACCCATATCCACTTACAAAGGGCACCCCCCAGGTTCCATACTCTCCCCAATCCAGTTTCACCATGAAATAGAAAACCTCCCTTCAAAATTGGCAGCCATGCCTGGCCTCCACCGCACCCTCCAGGTGGATGACGTGACTCTCTGCTATATGACCACAAGCTCAGGAAAACAAGAATTTATTCTCTAAAGTGGCATGGACGTCATAAATTCCCATGCAGAAAGCATGAGTCTGACCTGTTTTCCAAAGAAATTCGAGCTTATCCTTGTCACGAACAACAACACCAAACGAGTTGACGTCTACAGAAACCTCATCAAGCTTCACTTAGGGCAAGACAGTTCCTCAGCAAACCCATATCAAGACCATCGGCTTTATCTTTCAGCAGGACGGTCGCATCACAATATGGGTTACCACCGTCTTCAGCCAAATTGAACAGACCCCCCATATGATAAGACGCATCACGCGACAACGCCAGGAAGTACGTGAACATGAGCTCTGAACAGTCATCGAAGGCATGGTACACTCGTTTTATCCATGCGTACAATTATCAACGCAAAACCGCAACACAACGCAACAAGCTTCAGGCAGCCTTGTGAAAGTGCACCAGTACTGCACTCGGAGTCGCCCAACTAGAGAGCAAATATCCTGCTCGGACGCACCGACGTCTTCAGTAACCTTGAAGAACGAACAGAAGTTCACCACCAAGCTTAACTCCACAGACGCACCACCTCCAAACAAGGCCCATCCTCGAACCCCTCGGTCTCCCCACGTGTCACCTCCCTTTAATCATTTCCGTCTCGATCACCGCCATGGACAAAATCTCCAGAATCAACCCCCGCCCCATTCACAAACACATGGACACTGAGAGCGACGAAAAACGCCGACAGGGCAGTGTGTCATACCTAACCGTAACCCCCCCCCCCCCCACACACACACACAAAAGAGACTTATTGCACAAACGACAAAGTCCACCCCACCCCCTCCCCCGCGTCGTTACCGCCGTTGTAGTTCTCCACTTGACTTTCACACGTTTCCAGTCGGACGTCTCATCATTAATCGCAGCGGAGGTTTAGGCTATGACAGAAGCCATCACTCTCTACGAGCACACAACCTCTGCTATCGCCTTGAGCACCAAGACCCAAAAAGCCCTCGGGGAATTCAAGTCGCAAGCGTTGACGGCCCATATCCATATCCATATCCCACGCACTGGGCCGCGACAGGGAACCGCCAGGTCCCCCAACACCCTGGTCTGAACAATACGACCGCAGTGAACACAGAGCACAACAGCACAGAAAACGCAGGTGTCACCGCCATGAACAACGTTCTTAAATTGTGCACTCTCCCTTCTCCCTCCAAGCTCCTCCATGGGGCCGACACGACTTACGTACGACAAGCCCAGGCCAACTCCCTAACCCGCGACCTCATTTACCACAACGTTCAAGGGCGCCTCAAACAACCCAAGCGCCAAGACTGTGGAGGCCACCCCTCCAACACCAACAACTGAGAATGCACCGGGGCCACCTCCTCTCCTACCAACCTCCCACTCAATTTCTTCCCTAAAGCCATCCCCTACTTCTGGGCGGGCTGGGCCGCTCCACTTCACGACCTCCAAGAGGCCCTCTGACCTCTACTAACTCAGCACAAACAAGATACCTACTCCCACGACCCCCGGCTGATGACCAAGACCCGTACAAGCCAAAGAGGAAACTTCAGAAACCGTAAAGTCACACACCTCCGCCACATGGCGTGCGGCGGTCCGCCGTCGACCGTGTCTTTCGTCTTAGGTAATGCTTGCCTCCGCCAAGGTCCGCTTTTTTCCTTCACACGGTAGCCTGAAGCATGTTCATCACGTGGGTGCGGACAGCATCTCACACGCTCTGTCGGCTGTCACCCAAGGCCACCGCTGCTGTTTTAGGCTGAGCCAAGCTAGGCCTCTCGAAACGGGAAAGGGAAGGACACGAATACAAGGCGGCGAGAGTCTTCGCGCGAGCGGAACTCGTACGCCAAGACCACTTAGCCCTTCCCCCCGTGGTGACAGCGGCCTTGAAAACGGTAGAACAGATGGTCGACGCACACCTCTGGCAGGTCGCAGCGGCGTCAAATCTCACGTGCACTGACGTCACAAAAAAGCAGACGAGGCAAGGAGAAAAGCCGCGATTTTTGTGAGGTTCATGTCTACACAGAAGACGGAATGCGGGGCCATAACTTTCACTCAATATGGCGGAGAAGTGACGGTTCACGCGTTCTGAAGTACCCTGTTCGGACACCCCTTTACAGGGAGGACGAACGCGGCTCGGAATTGAGTTGTTAAAAATAAAGTTGATTTTTTCCCTCTCTCTCTTTCTCTCTCTCTCTATCTCTCTTCTCGGTGCGTCGTAACTGATAGTAGCGCCATTCGAATTAGTACTTCCCGGAAGTTTCTTACACTGTGAAAGTTCGCCTGGTTGGATGGTCGTGCGCATGCGCCGGCACAACGGGGTGTTGACTCAATACCATACAGAGGACAAGGCCTGTGCATCGTTAGCGGATAAGGGAACCGCCCCACGCGGCAAACACTCTGAAGCTCGACGAGCCACGCTGTAACGGAAAACGCGTCAGTCTTGGGTAGCGCTCGTTGGGAGTGGCACCACAATACACTGACCGCGAATCTGACGCTGGCTGTACTGTACTTCGTGAATCCAATAGTAATAATATTTAAGAAGGGGGGGGGGGGGAGGGGAGGAGGGATTATGCTTTGCCTCCTAGGAGGTATAGCTAGAGTGAACACCTTCTCGTTGGCGGACATAACCGCCACTGAGAAGAATGTGGATGCCACGTGGTGCACGAAATGTGCGGGTGCCGGGTTTGTTTACATCACGCTAGACGTTTGATTGTGAGCGAATGGTTCACTTGGGAGTGTATGTATATTCGTCTTTTCTGAATGAAAAATTCATTTGACAGTAGCTGATCATATCATCGAATGGCTCCTGGTGTCCTGTTTTTTGGCGCATGTCAAACCTAAGTTTATCTCACGAGAGGAAACCAGGACAACAATGGTACCGTTGACTGTTCTCTAACGAACTAAGACGATGAATTTTTCTGAAATTGTCAAAGCAAGGTGGAAAAAGATATGTAAATTTCAAACATTAAGCCAGCTAAAAAATAGCATCTTTACCGCGCTTTGCCTTTAACAAAACAATAAGAACACTCAAGCTAGTAGAATTGAAGCCTGATATCTGCCAAAAGCAATAATTGCAATCGTCCTCGACAAACGCAAAAAAACGTGTAAAAAAAGAAAATTAGACAGTATGAAAAGTTACCATCGCGACAGCGAGGTTGAACGAAGACCGATTTAGCTCTGAGAAGTGGCTCCCTTTGGGTTGCGCCTGCCTTCCGCTAGATGGCGACACCGAATCTTCTCGTCGCGAACAGACAAAAGCGACTGCTCTCGCAGTGTTCTTCCTATTGTGACGTAGATTTTACGTTCGCTAACCGAAGCTGCACCAACGTTTGTAGCATTTTTTTCTGTCCTGTGTCGTTTTTTTTTTTTTTGTTTTCTTTCTTACTCTTTATGTCTGACTATTCGCGCTCGCTACCAGAGCCCGAGCAGCAGTGATACACCAAGAAACTGTGCCGTTGCTGGGTCGCCTTCGAGGACGTCTACGCTATGAGGACGGAACACTGGCGCTCACCACGCCAAATCGGCCAAGTTGCTGCCGCCAACCTCGGTGGCGCACGTTGTAGTTTGCCTGGTCTTTTTGCCGAGCTTTTTTACGGCCGACGCGGTACAAGCATGCACGTCTCTTGAGGCATACAACTACTTTGAGTATGGTAAGACTGAATTGAGCGTTATGTGTAGGAATATATCGGGAGTCGTTCGCGTCGGAAACTTAACTGCACTTTTTTACCCCACAAGCTTGGTATGAGACAGCAAGGTGGACGCCTTAAGGCGCCGCGTTGTGCGTCGTCCTAGATAAGATGATGCCGTCGCAGCGGGCAGCTGCTACAACTTACGATGCCTGAGCGTAACGAGCAACCGACGAACTTTTGTTCGGCAATTTGTGTGCAAACACCGCAGGAGCGAAGTCCGGGTGGTCTGTATCAGATGACGTCCCTACGCAGAGAAGTGCCTCAGCGCTGGCAACAACGATTGCAGTCGAAGCTACGCACTTACCTTCAATGAAGGCTTACCACACGAGTGGACATACGTGCCAGGCAAACTTTTTTTTTTCTATCCACGCAGGCTATTCATTATTGCGTCTGTCGGCGTGCACCTGGAACCTGTGGAAACTTACCCCACTACTTTTGCAGTATCTTTCGGCACAACCAAAAGCCGCGGAGCTTTGCATCAGGTCGAAATGCTGCGTCGCACGTGCAAAGTGCCCGCTGTTGTAGCTGCACCTCGCCCGCCTGGCCGATCAGGAGCAATCGCAGCGTGTATAAACTTATGCATTGCTTATTACCCGGGCGAAAAAGGCTGAGTCACTGACCTATGGACGCATGCTCAGCGTCTGATACCCCGTACAACACAGCTGCAGCGCATGTTCAGAAGGCGTTCCACAGCCCAGCAGATTAAGATCGCAGCGCAGAAGGCGATTTTTGCTAAAGTCTAAAGACCATTACTCGCCTCCAGCGTCTCCGAGCTGCGGTGGCACTGTAGTCGGCAAAGCACACGCCCGGACGCTTGTGAATGAGTGGATTTTGTTTCTGTGCACAAGCAACCCTCAGACCTGTTGGCAAAGGCGGGTTTGTAAGTCAACAGCGTGTTAACCTGTAGCCACTGTCATGGTTAGGTTGGTGGGGCGTCTCCCTCGAACGCCCAGCCTTCAGCGCACGCTCATTGGACTTCGCTGTGCTTGCGCTTCGAGTGGACGCCCGAGGTTCACAGGACAGAGACGCGTCATCGAAAGTAGACAGAAAGTTAATGTATACCCCCTTTAATTCACTACCAATGTGTTCCTTCGACAATAAAAGAAATTTAGTTTTTTTGTAGCTCACTTGGTGGGGCGGTTGACTGTAGCAGAAACGATTGCTGTCATCCATAGTTCGCTGCTTTGAATCCGACTCGACAGACGAAATTTTCGTTTTCTTATAAGTTCAACGGCGGGTGCGCACCTTGGAGCCTCAGGTGCTGTGGCTGGGAGCGATGAAATGATTGATGACGCTCTCGGGGTGGTTTTCGCGAAGGACATGAATCCAGTCTATCCGGAAGGTTCCCACTAACAACTGTTACTATGAAATAGGAAACGAACAACTGTACCTACTGTACTTTTTTTTTAATCAGCATTTGTTGACAACAGGCACTTTTCTGGTATTTCCGCCCACATCACAAAACCACGTTCATTTCAAACATCTGTGGAGAAGGGGCAAGTTTTTCTATTTTTTTGTGACCGGTATTTTTGTTGTTGATAAAACCTGTTCACAAAAACAACGCAGCTATCTTAGTGTTATACACACCGCTGTGAATTGGCGCTATTTCAGCATCTTGTTGCATGTCACTCGGCTTTTTCCAGTTTGTGCTTATAATGCGCCACACAACAGGCGCTAAACTAGTGCTAATCTCGCCCATAATTCACGCTATCTCAGCGCTGCCCTTCCTTTGTGAACGGGCCTCTATGGTAACAATATTAAATCTTGCGATCAGCGCCAGTATTTTGGCAAAATACCAAACTAAGGCTACCACGTCGAGCGATTTTTTTCTGTCGTTGCTTTCTTTGCTTTTTGTTTTAAAGCATCAAAATTGAATAGGTAAGAAAACTTGCGTACGTGTTTCTTTCTTTCTTGTCGATATATTTTCTATTTTCTTGCTCCCTCATTGACACATGAAAATCTCATTGGTGGAACTTAGTCTAGTGAAAATAGTTCATCTCTAGATATTATTTTATATTTATAGTTGGTTGTATGGTTTCATTTTAAGTCAAATATATATCGCTATACTGTATCGCATCCAGCCCATATTTCGGCAATATTAAGCAACTTAGTGCACTAAATCCTCCGCTTATATCACATGGAATGCTTGGGGATATCATTGCTTAAGATATTTTTTGTTCATAATGATCTATGATTTTGTTTCCCTCACAGATAAACTTGTGGGCTCAAGACTGGGCAGAAGATAACGCTGCTCGAGACATTATGGAACACCGATCGAACAATCCTTATGGCGAAAATCTTTACATGTTTGGGCCATCGCCAGCTCCCCAAGGACCAAACCGTTAGTGAGCATTATATCTTAAATTAAACTTTTAGCACGCTTAAGCACAACACAAAATGTAGAAATAGCACCCGACTATTGCAGCAACTCAAATTTTTAACCAGGATGTCGAAGTTCAACGTTAACGACCCTGGACTTATTCCGTCGTCAGAATTCATAATATTTACACCTACGTTATGTTACGTTTATAGAATGGTACTCAAGAAAACCTATGCAAAATTTTACTCCAGAGGCTTTTGAGAAGGGTTAATTTTACTTAGGAATCCATGTGGGCGTTCACGGGTGTTCTGTGTTATATGATTAGGACAAGGACGGAACGCTTGTAACGTAAAACAAATCAGGTGTTTGCAAAACAGAGACGGCTGGAAACAATTATATAAGAACGGAAAAAGTGCATGCAAATAATTAAAGTAAAACGGAAGAGGGAGAGAAAGAGCAGGAGACGAAGAGCGCGAGAACACATCAGAGCTCAGATCTTTGGTTGGAATTATTAGGGGGTAGACGGCAAGCTAGCTCATTTGTTTCCAGTCACTCGTCGAACGACTCGAACACGCTCGAAACCGTTCGACGAGTGACTAGAGACAATGATATTTAGCTTTTCATGTGCCCCCTAATCAATCCAGTTAGAGCTCTGCGTTCTGCCGTCCAAGTGCACTTCTATTTCCGCCTCTCCCTCAATTTCTACTGATAAATGAGAAACGGAGGAGCAAACGGTGTAAGCAACAGATCATGGAGAAGGCGCGAAGCTCAGGGAATCTGCAGAATGCAAAGAGAAATGCCTAAGTAATAGGAAACATTACTTCCGTGATGTTTCTCGGCTATCCTGCAGTATCACGGCGATTTATCTCATTAAGAACAAAAATCGTACTACGAGATGCAAGTTCATAAATGCGTTACATGGTTTATTGACTTATAACGCGTGTATATTTGGCAGTTGACTTCCCACCAGCTTAGTTAAGAGGTTTGTTTTTTCTTATAGGGAATGAGCGAACAGCGTTTTGAAATTTCATTTTTCTCGTAAGACAAATTCTAGTCCGCAAACAGATACTGAACAAAGGAAAAGAAACACAAAACAATACCACATAATCTACCCTAGTTCTGACATTACTCAGTTTTTGAATAGCTTAAAGACAAAGACATGTCAATTGAAGGTCATCAAACACAATTATACGAGACTTCCATATAGGTGACATGCGAGAGCAGATGTGTTAGCTTTGCTCTGTATAGTTGATGTTAACCAACTCAGTGTAACTATCGGGTATTTGAAATAACGGCCACGCTCTTCAAATCGACCGCAAAATTCGGTTCTTTAACCTAGTGCGCTAAAATTTTGTGCCGCCTCACCCAAACGAGGTGCATTTTTTCTATAAATTTGCAGAAAACGAACTTACCAGACGAAAATGTAGACAAAAAAAAACTTAAATTCAATGGAAACATAGCGAAGCTACCGGTCTTTAATCAATAGTGCGCCCTGGGAGTTCGGGGATCTCAGACTGCTCCGGTACTTTCGGCGGCGGCGACGTAGCGCGACGGCTCACAGGTCTACCACGTGACTAATGGCGCCTTGCGCAGGCGCGAACTAAATTCGTTCCGCGCCAAATATATAGATCTCATTTTTTTATGCGAAAGCGTTAACTGTCTCATGGAGCGAGCGGACGTCATCAGTCTGAAGCGCGAAAACGGCAGATAGTTTCCATCGGTTCCATTGGCTGGCGCGCGTCGACGGGGCTCCCATTGGCCGCTGCGCTCGTCAAGTTCCACGACCGCTCACCCCATGGCGTTGCGTATCCATCAATCAGCTCGCCGTTGCTCCCCTAGGTACGGTGACCTTGGACGCTTCATGCCCAGGGGAGCACACGCGCTGACCGGCGACGAAAAGTACGCAGCAGACGAAAAAGGGAGCGGACGAGCGGCTTGCGTGCTTTCGCATTCATGACTTATAAGAAATGCTTAGGTGTACCTCGATCTTTTTTTTCCCCCGTTCTAAAACTGTTTTGAAAAAAAAATTTCGGGCTGTTTTTAAAAAAATTGTGAATATGTCTTTTATATATAGTTTAAGAAAAACAAAAAACTTGCCGTTTAATCGTCCAAACTATTACATATAAAAAATCATATAAAATTTAAAATATAAACATTTACGAGATATGCCTCTACAATTGAAATACAAATTCTAGTTAGATTTTATTACCTCTCTTAAAGATAGATGGAAATGCAAACATTAATAGGAAAACAAAACTAACGTTATCAGAACTAAACATTATTTGTGGGATTCCATACGCAGAATATATCAAGTAAAATTACTAAAGTTGTTGCATTCTAGATGACATGCGTAAATGGTGCTTTAGTAATTATTCTTAATTCACCTCCGATTTCTCTTCAAATGTTTTAATAAATTTAGTTTCAAATCGCAATTACCTGTACAATTAATAACTATGGGATGTAGACGGTACAATGCATTTAAGCGCTAATGCAATAATCTTCCAAGTTTACTTCCGTGAGGAATAAAATCCCCACGTAGTACGCCATAATTCAAAGCTTTTTGATCAGCAACAAACATATCTTGAAAAGGACGTGCCACTAAAAATACAACTCATGTGAAATGCATTTTCTACAGCTGGCTTTGCCCACGTTCAAGACCTACAAATTTTACCTTTATTTTTTTTTTTAGCACAAGATGTGGTCTCTGCCTGGTACGACGAGATCGAGTACTACGACTTCAATTACGGGGGGTTCAGTGGCGCAACTGGCCATTTCACTCAAGTAGTGTGGAAAAACTCCACAAAGCTGGGCTGCGGCTGGGCACGTTCGTATAGCGACAACATCTACGTCGTGTGCAACTACGACCCACCAGGAAATTATATGGGCAAATTCCAGGAAAACGTTCTCTACCCAATAAACTAAATTGACAATAAAGATATTACTGGTGTGCTTTCACCATAAAAATTTCAATGTGATCGAATGAAATTTTATTTTACGTATAACGCTAGAAATAAGCAAAACAAACTTTTCATTTTTTTAGAGACAACGCTACATTAAATACAGCCCGATTCAGAAGAAGTTGCCCCCGGAAACATTTTATTGCCTTCCGTGCAAAGATGAAGCCCCAATATATTACTAACGAGATATTCACCTGCACAATGTTTTTATAAATAACAGTTTATAACGCTTTTGGTTTTTTTTTTCTAAGCTTCCATCAGTTTTTTGTTCGTTTTTATTATATTGTATTTTGCAAGCCAAAACAATATCATTACAACAGGTACTTCACGCGGAAGTAACTATAGAAAATAGCCTAATGCATAACTGAAATTCACATACACACTTGTCACAGTACATCGAATGGAGAATCCTTGCCTCTCGTCGCTCAATCACTATTCAGTCTGTTGTGCTCCATTGTTGCAAATGTGCATGAGCTTCTCGAAAGACTCTCGAATGATTTGAGGGTCCAGCAGCGGAATGTGGGAATCCCAGCTAAGGACCCAGGACTCTGTCCATGATAATCCTTGCTCGAGGGACGCAGAGCCGGCCGACCGAACACGATGGAAGTACTTTTTGAACGCGATCCAATCCAAGACATCTACGAACACCCTTTTTCTAATCTTCAATTTTCATCCCACGATAATTTTGTTTGCAAACGTCCACTTTTTTCTTTTTTCGCGCGTTTTGGGCGCGTTTTTTCCAACGACTTTTTCATTTCGCTTCCTATCAGTTCACATCATCAAAATTGAAACCGTAATTGGTGACGTCACAACATAGCGCTGTAGTCGAAACAAATTTTCGAGGCCATTGCAATGAACAAACACATCGGGGCTCCACGTGAGATTAAAATCTGTATCATAAAATAGTTCATTATTGTAGACCAATTCTCTTTGCAATATCTAATCAAGAAGATGTTTTGTATCGTCTCACTGCCATCAACCGATGATAAAAGCCCGTAATGAAGTCACACAACGAATTTCGCCTTGCTAGCAGACGGCACGATGGCTTTGCGGGTTCAGTGGCTCTGTCTCAGGGAGTGCAGGACTTCTTCAAAGGAGCCGCCAAACTTTCTCCCGAATTTCTGAGCTGTATGTCTATTTGGAATCCTTGTCCATTATTACATAATTCGCGTCCATAGTTTTGCTCGTTCGAATTCATTTTCTAGCGTAAACTATATAATTTCAGTTTATCGGTGAGCTTCCCTCTCAGTTCTATAAACACGTAACGATAAGTAATTAGTAGAGGATTTCCATTTTCCGCGCTATATACCGACATAAAACGGAATCATTAGGCGCAGCCACAGATATCGCTCAAACAGCAGCGCCATAATTATGTCACGCACGTAAGTCAATGGGGACGTGTTCCAAATCTTACCCAAATGGATCCGGTTGATCCGGCGGGTCGTGTCACGCGACAACACAAACTCAAAAACGCTGGTCCCGAGTCGGTTTTAGAACGCCAAGGTAAAAAAAAAAAGAGTTACCTGGAGTAAGATCGAATAAAATTTGTAACACGGCCCAGATGACATCTGACGCGTTATATTTTGTCCCGATAACTGTAGGACGGCCGACCTCCCCGAGCTCCAGCGTCGCCTCGTACAGCACACTCGGCTTCTGGGGTTACGTCAAACGACAGACCGTTCGTCGTCCGGAAGGAGAGTAGCGGCGACGACATCGACGACGAAGCGGCGGCTTGTACGGACTCTCGACTTCGTTGCACAAACCATCGATGAAAAAAGAGGAAGCCAGTTGGGCGTAAGGCGTGTTTTTCCACTCCTCCGATATGCAGCCGGACCAGGGCGCTTAGGCTGCTCGGTTAAAAGTAGTGATAGACCGAATCTTCCGAACCTCAGATACAGCAAAGTTCAGCACATGACGAACCTTTGAAGGAAAGTTCGGCAAAGATTCGGCGGAAATTCGTCAAACGCATCTGAGCGTTCTTGAACACGACGGGGCCGCAGGGCCATAGATTGCAAAAAGACGCCGTTCAGTCGTACGGTTACCATCGTACAATGCAGTACTGAGAGTGGTTACGTCGAGGTGCGGAGTGTATGGTAATTGTGTGTTTGTCAGCCTTTGTGACACTGGTTTTCTTCAATATATTCTGCCTCAAAAACAGAAGATGGGCCAGGAATTGACGTACGCTACTGTGCAAATGACAAACTGTGAGGTACATTCCGGATGACGTGATTTTCATTAGATATTTCCAGTGATGCACGAGGTAGTTGCAACATTGACTTACGAATGCTTTAAAGCACTTCTAGTCAATATAGCGACCCTGCTCTCGGCTCACATGTAGTTTGTGCCAAAAAATATGATTGTTTTTTTTTAAATAGCGTTATTCCACGGATTTTATCTGTCCGCATAACACTAAACACAGAACTATCAGGCTCGACGTTGCACATCCAACATTTCTAACTCCTAAACGCCCGCCTGTGTCCTAATATGAGAAACCGGAATTTTAAAAGTTAAAAACAAGACTTTGCAAATATCAGACGCACACTTTTATGCAATGCTTCCGTAACTAAATTCGAAAAAAAAACATGCACATTTACAATAACGTAGTTTTCTTTTCTGGTGAAAGCTGTGCAGCCGTTGCATTCATTAGGCAGTTTTAGAATGGCGGACGCTAAAGCTTTGCGCACGCAAAGAATAGCGTCGTCCCCCCTGCGCATGCGCCGAACGCTAACCACATTTTGAGATTTGCGTGCGCTCTATTAGCATACGCCATTTTTCGGAAATTGCGTGCCTACGCAAAGAGTTTTTGCGCTTCTCTAAGGAGAAGGTGTGATGAGAAATTGGCTAAAACCGAGACGAGCACAGTTAAAAAAAAAAAGGTGGCTCCCAGGACCATGGCTCCGGCCGCTTTGGTGGCGGGGTGATGACGACGTAGGCGGCATCGTCGCGACTGCGATTTTCAATACGGATCGACATTGCACTCGGTTTGGGAAACCCGATAAAATGGGCAACGATCACGGACAAGTTCATGCTAACGACGCCCGAACATTTCTCGGCACGAGACACCTCTTGCCCAGGCAACGCAAGCGGACGCAACCGGTCGACCGGTCGACCGCTCGCGTCGCATTCTCAAGTATAAACAAATCTGAAATGTTATCTGGACCAAAATCTTGATTTTGTTTTCTCAAGTTACAGCACTCCCTGTGTGAAATAAAAATTTTGACTATCTTAGTGGCGTTGCGAGCGCGAGGCGCTTATACTTTTGCGTCGCGGCGGAGACAAGCTATTCTAAAACGGCGACTCGCAGAGAAGATAAGAACACAGTGTTACCGCCTTTATTTCTACAATGCCCATAAATGCAGGCTTGCGCTGATGAGGATCAAAACCGAACCTCGCGTATCATGACAGTGGCCGCTACCCCGCAACCCCCCAACCAAACAAAATGACACAGATAAGATTATGTTGTAGATTATCACCTTATTTAGTAACAACTGTGTCAATATGCATTTAAAAGAAAAAACTTTTTTCGCCCGGAAAAACGATGTCTAGATATTCGTCAAAAAATACGTTGTCTGGCAACAACGTATTTTGCCGAATGTTTGCCGACTCTTTAAAAAAAGTTAGGCGAAAATTCGGCTCCGCCAAATCCTAATATTCAGCGCCGAATATTTACTCGGCAAGGGTTCAATCCATCACTAGTTAAAAGCTCCACTGCGACCTGGGAGGCATCAGGGCCCGCATTCGCGAAGACCGACGCCCAGGTAACGCCGGCACCGACCCCCGGTGACCACCCACGGGAATGCTGGACTCCCTGCCTCGCCAGAACTTCGGCCGGCCTGCTGTTTCAAGCCGTGAAAGCAAGGAGCGCTCGCCAGGCACTCGAGAGCCACCTGCTGGAAGCAAGCAGTCCATGCGGCGCCTTGAAGAACACTGTCGCGCTGACCGCTGCTCGGCCTAAGACATTTCACTCTCTTCATGAGACACTTCGATCCCTCACCCTTGTTCACAAGCTCCATTCAAAGCATCACCATTATTTTTTATTTATCTGTGCAATACTATTTTATCATCGTTGGACGTGGCGCCGCGGGCCTTCACTGTATGGGCCACTTGCCATCGTGCGGCGCCTCGGCTCTCCTGAGCCGAAATAAATAAAATAGACGTGGCGCCGCTCTTGAATATTGATCTCGTAGTTGCCCAGAAGAAACTAGTCTCAAGACTCGTGAATCAAGCGTGAGCTGATGTTGTCCGGACTATCGCGGCCAATGGCTCGAAGTCGGAGGACCCAGCGATGTGGTTCTGGTGGCAGGTTATGAAACCGTATGCCGTCTGTGCTACTGTCTGCACCAGCGCCTCACAAGGCACACATTTTAGATGCAGACGCTAACGCGCACACACAATACACGCAAACGACGATAAACACAAACCGCGACCTAAACCTTCCGCGAACAGTGGATGAGGAGCCGAGAAAAGACAAGCAACAGAGTAGCCGACGGAGCCATCGTTGCTATGTTTACCATGCGGCAGAAGACATGAGTGCATTTGAAACAGAAACCATCTCAATCACGCGATGCAGTATACTGTGATTGCAATTAAGAGCGTCAATTAATTCTTAAGTTTTTATCACTTTCAATTTGTTGCTTGAACATTAAATAAAACTGAACATCTCTTCTAGTTGATATATCACTGATGATAACGTTTTGTTGCCTCTGGTTCGCCCACGGTGTCGTATGGTCGTCCTAGAATCTCCAAAAAAATATGAATTTTAAACGACTATTGTAAAATCCAGACGCAATATTTGGCCGCAAAACGTAGGATACATCTTCGCGCTTTAATTAATTCCCAAAAATAAAGATGAGGTCTACACATTTTCTTTTCATTTCCCCTTTAAATTAAGTAGGTGACGAGCGACGAAACTTCTCTTCTCGGGGTCAAAATTCTGTGGGATTTTACAAGCGAAGTGCAGGTTTG